ACTGTTTGTGTACGTGTGTGTGTGTGTGTGTGTGTGTGTGTGTGTGTGTGTGTGTGTGTGTGTGTGTGTGTGTGTGTGTGTGTGTGTGTGTGTGTGTGTGTGTGTGTGTGTGTGTGTGTGTGTGTGTGCGTATGTGTGTGTGTGTTTTGGCCTTCCTAGCAGCCCACTGACTCCCTCCCCTGCTCCCCACTTGCCTTGGTCCAGAATGGTGAGCTTGAGCGTGGGCGTGGGCTTCCCCTCGCCCGCCCTCGTCCTCGCCGTCAGCCAGAACTCGTGTGTGCCGCGGCTGAGGTGCGTGAGGGAGTGAGAGTTGGCGTGGGCGTGGAGAGGGTGTTGTGAGGGCGCGCGGGCGTGGGGTGGGCGGTGGTTAAGCGTGTAGCCCAAGAGCACGCCCGTGGGTGGGTGTGGAGGCAGCCACGTGAGTATAGCTGCGCCCACGTCTGACTGCAAAGCTCTCAGTCCGCCCGGGACGCCCGCAACTGCAAGTATAAGTAGCATAATACTTCTGATTATAAAAAAAAACATCTATCTATCTATCTATCTATCTATCTATCTACATATATATATATATATATATATATATATATATATATATATATATATATATATATATGTATATATGTGTGTGTGTGTGTGTGTGTGTGTGTGTGTGTGTGTGTGTGTGTGTGTGTGTGTGTGTGTGTGTGTGTGTGTGTGTGTGTGTGTGTGTGTGTATGTACAGATACATGCATATATATATATATATATATATATATATATATATATATATATATATATATATATATATATAAATATATATATATATATATATATGTATATATATATATATATATATATATATATATATATATATATATATATATATATATATATATATATATATATATGCATATATATATATATATGTGTGTGTGTGTGTGTGTGTGTGTGTGTGTGTGTGTGTGTGTGTGTTATACATACACGCCGTGTATGCATAAAAACCCTGTAGTTCCTATTGCTTCAGCCCGGCCTTGGAATCAACAAGCGGCGATTGGAATTTTCCCACTAAACACAAGAGCCAACAATGATTAAATATGTCAAGAGCTCAATAATCAGTCCCGCTTCTCCTCAACTCTGCAAGCATGAGGGTCTCGTTGCCACACTCGGCTCTCTGTAATACTCCACTTTCAATACACTTTGTAATCGGATTAAAATAATTTAAAATTTCCACATTAATTTGAAAAGGCAATCGAATTCAAGTGCAGTTCAGGGAACCATCAAGTAGGTCAAAGGTCACTGACCATCCTCCCTCGTGGTGCAGATGAGGTCAGGCGAGGACACGCCCGCGCCCGCCCTCGTCACGGCCGCCACCGTCACCGTGTAATTGGACCACGCCCGCAGGCCGCCCACGCTCTCCTCGCGCCCACTCGTCATTCGGATGAGCTCTTCCACCTTCTCTGTGGTCGGTAGAGAATTTGGGTAAGCAACGAAGCATGTAAATCAGAGGAGAGGGAAGGCAAGGGAATGGAGGCTAGACGGGAACCAAGAGATCTGAAGGCAATCGTGCTCAGCGTATTCCAGCGGGCGCACCAGGCTCGTGGCACAGGGAGCAGGGGACCTTGGGGTGACAAGGACGCGGCAGAAGGCGCTGCATCTTACCTGTCGAGTCATCGAGGCGCGTGAGGGTGAGGCGGTAGCCCTGCAGCAGGCCGTTGTGGAAGGTGGGCGGCGGCGGCGCCCACCTCACGTACAACGATGTCCCTCCGGCTCCCCCGCTGCATTCCACGCCCACGGGGGGAGAAGAGGGCACTGTGGGCGGAGATATGAGCTCATCAAAGTCACTCGTTCTGTTACCAGCTTCTGTTTCAGAAAGAGCCGAGCGAGAAGAGCGAAAAAAGCTAAGGAAATACTCACCGTCTTCTAGCGTCCTGACCACGACGGGCGGAGACACGGGTCCGGCTCCGTGGGCGTTGTACGCTCTTACGGCGACTGCATACTGCACCCACGCCCGTAGAGCCGTTACCACCTCCCGCCCACCTCCACCGGCGCCCACGCCCACTACGCTGAAGTTATACGATTCGTCATTTCCCAGGCTGGAAGAGGAAATATCGACCCTAAGAACAGTAGTGACGATACGGATGCCTTTGTGCACCCCCCCCCCCCCTGATGTGCGACACCAGCCTCAGCTACACAAAGAAAAGTGACAAACACCATCGTCCTGACACAGAAAACTCAGTATACATATAAGCTTTCTTGTAAGAGGAGACCGCAGCTTCGAAATCCTTCTGAACTTCATTATCAGGCATGACCTGGAGATGAAACCTATCTGTCTCTTGTTTCAGTTAACCTATTTTGTGTTCAGCTTTTTTTCTTTTTTTCCTACCAGCTATATATATATCATTATCACAAGGCCTTACTCATGGCGCCGAACGCCCACGTGATATCCCAGCAGGTCCCCGTGGTGCGTGTGGGCGGGCGGAGGCTCCCACACGACCCGCAGACTGGTGGGCGAGACGGCGTC